AAGTTATAGATCCATTAGAAAAGAGGAAGAAATTGGCAAATTATGATTGGGTGGGCCATGGTCCTGAATGGCTAGATATATTGCTAAGGAAGTTGGAGAAGTGTTGGGGTCCACAAAGCAAAACAGATTCCTTTATGAGATGGCTTTTTAGAGCTTTTGCTATGCTAATGTGCTTATCTCTATGAGGGAGATAGAGTGTTCAACATTTTTCAGACTTATTTAACTCCATAAAATTATGTTTTTTTCCTCACACGATACCTATGAACATTTCTAGGGCTCCGGCATCCTTTGTTTTATTTATTTATTTATTTTGAGGTGGAGTCTCGCTCTGTTGTCCAGGCTGGAGCGCAATGGCACCAGCTCCTTTCATTGCGACCTCCGCCTTTTGGGTTCAAGTGATTCTCCTGCCTCAGCCTCCCAAGTAAGCTCGGATTACAGGCGCACACCACCACACCTGCCTAATATTTTCTATTTTTAGTAGAGATGGGGTTTCACCATGTTGGCCTGGCTGGTCTTGAACTCCTGATCTCAAGTGATCCACCCACCTTGCCTCCCAAAGTGCTGGGATTACAGGCATGAGCCACCGTGCCCGGCCCAGCATTCTTCAAAATATATTTTAGGAAATGCTTGAGATGAACACTAAAGTCCTTCCGAGTTACAACATTCTATAATTATCTATAAAACCAGTTCACGTTTGTTGGGATGCAAGAAATCTGTAACTTCTGTTTCTGAAGGAGACATTATATACTCAAATTGGGTAATTTGAGGAGATTTTACAAGTGAACTAGATACAAAGCTTTGGAGAAACCGCAAAGATAGAGCATAATCTTCCTAGGCCTGGTTAGGTGAAGGAAACAAGTAGATTTTATAACCAGATATGGAAAGAAATACTTGACCAGAATTGTGACCTCCACTCAGGGAACACAGTCAGTCTCTAGCATGCGGTGCTCTCTGCTCAGCTATTGGTGCTGTACATTTCCCCGCTGAATTCCAGAGAGAGGGCTAGAGAGCCCACTGATGCTGCCCAAAGTGTCCGTCTCCCAGGGTGCCCAGCAGACATCTCATTTCATCTTCATTGTCTTACTGGAGTCATCGTAATATAGCAATAGAAAAGGCACAGCATTGCTGGGTGTGGTGGTATGAGCCTGTAGTTCCAGTCACTTGGGAGGCTGAGGTGGGAGGATTGCTTGAGCCCAGGAAGTCAAGGCTGTGAGCCATGATGGAGATGGAGCTATGGTTCCAGCCTGGGTTACAGAATGAGACCCTGTCTCAGAAAAAAGCAGGAAGGCAGGAAGGCAGGCAGGAAGGAAGGAAGGCAAGAAACCATGAAGGAAAGAAGGCAGGAAGGAAGGAAGGCAGGAATGCAGGCAGGCAGGCAGGCAGGCAGGCAGGCAGGCAGGCAGGCAGCAGGCAGGCAGGCAGGCAGGAAGGCAAGCAGGCACAGAATCGAAGCCAGACAGAAACTGGATCGGCCTCTGGGTTCTACCCTTAGCTGGTTATATAATCTTTTTAGACTCCTAATCTGTTTTGTAGAGTTTAGAGGATCTCTTATGTATCGGCTAAGCATTATAATACCAACTTTGCAATGTTGTTAGGATGATTAAATTAGAATACCCGTAAAAAGTGTCTGACTAACAGTAGGTCTTTTATAAATGTCATTTTTCTTTTTTCTGTCTTCCCTCTGCTATTTGCCAAATATAAATTGAGAAATTACCACGGGGTAGCCACTGTGCAAGTTAGATGTTCTTTGACCACAGAAAGTATTTGGCCAGCACATTAGGGTATGGTTCCACACCAGGCAAGATTAAATGACACATAAGGTCCTTCTGCCTCCAAGAAACAGCTGGGAGAGGTGGCTCACACCTGTACTTGGGAGGCCAAGGTGAACGGATCACTTGAGGTCAGGAGTTCGGGACTAGCCTGGCCAACAGGGTGAAACCCCGTCTCTACTAAAAATACAAAAAATTAGCTGGGTGTGTTGGTGCACGCCTGTAATCCCAAGTATTCGGGAGGCTGAGGTAGGAGAATCCCTTGAACCCAGGAGGTGGAGGTTGCAGTGAGCCGAGATCATACCACTGCACTTAAGCCTGGGCAACAGAGCGAGACCCTGTCACTCTTATTATGAAAGAAAGGAAGATATGATGATTGGCCTTTTGGCTAAGATCAAATGTAAAGTGATCACCAGGAGACTACAATTACCTTAAAGATAATATTTATAACTCAGCTGTGCTTTGAAAAATTTTGATTTGTGCCACATCAGGGTTCCCCAGCTATTGGAATAACTCAGGGACTTTATAAAATGCAGACTCCAAAACTCCACCTCGGGTCTGCTGAGACCACTCCTTGAGAACAGACGTGGGAATCTCTGCTTTATGAAATCCTCTCAGGTGATTCTGGCAATTGGCTAAGTCTACTTATCTCTGCTTTGCATGTTACTGAACTGTTGGACCCTAAGTTTGGCCTTTTTAGTAGAAGGAACTGAATACATGGGAGCAGTCACAGTGAACATCCCTTAGGAAGACAAACTTGGAAACACAGACTCAAAGTAGACAGCATAGCAAGGCTTACTCAGCTGTGACAAGCACCATCTCTGAAGTGAGTGTGTTCTTCCCTCTGGACTGTTTTTATAATACGAATGACTTGGTGAATGTTTTCTGACTTAGAGAGAGTCTCTGTCGCCCAGGCTGGAGTGCAGTGTGACTCAATCTCACTTCACTGCAACCTCCACCTCTCGGTTTCAAGCAATTCTCCTGCCTCGGCCTCCTGAGTAGCTGGGACTACAGGCGTGTGAAACCACACCCAGCTAATGTTTGCATTTTCAGTAGAGACAGGGTTTTACCATGTTGGCCAGATTGGTCTTGAATTGCTGACCTCAGCTGATCCATCCATCTTGGCCTCACAAAGTGCTGGGATTACAGGTGTGAGCCACCATACCCAGCTGCAATGCCAAATCTTGATGTCCTTACACTTTAATCTTGATGTCCTTCAAGTGAGGCAGTTAGGAGAAGTGGGATGAGCCAAATGGCTCTCTTAGAAAGCAGACCATTTGGCTCAACCTGCTTCTCCTAACTCCCTCACTTCGATTCTCTTCTGGAAAAATTTAGTCCTAAAGTCATTGGGTGGGGTACAGCAAGGTAGATACTCCCTGTGGTGCTGGTGGGGAAGCTGGTGGGGAAGCCTGGTGAGGAGGCAGTGCATCTCCAAGGGCTGCCCAGCACACGGTGACTGGGCCTGCATGGTGAGAAGGGTGACTGCACAGCAGCGTGGGTGTGTCACTGTGTGCTGAAGGCTTCCACACAGTGGGATAGCCTGGTGTGGGGTGTGAGAGCCCAAGCTTGGCGAGGAGATTATCCATATGGCAGGGGCAGGAATGGGAACACACAATGAGGAGTCAGAGGCCGAGCAAGAAGAGGAGGACATCTTCAAGGAGAATGGAATGGTAACAAAGATGGGTGATCAGTTACATGCAGGAATTGAGCAAAAAAGGAAATTTATTAAGGATAACAAAAGCTGGGTGTCTCAGAGAAGGGAGTTACAAATACAGAATAGGAGAAAACACAAATTCATGATTTTCAATAGATAGATTTAAATATATGCATACATGTACACACATATATACATATACATACACACACATATACATATACACATAGACACAGACGTATTCCCTAGCTCTGTCCATTGAGAAGACTTGAGAACAATGATACCTCCAAAGCCATGAGTACACCCAGCATCTGCATCTTGGCTTCTAAATACCATTTTCTACTAAATGGAGCCAGGGATTTTGGGGAAAAATGGCTGATTCCAGGGTTGGGACAGGAAAAGTTCAAGATGAGCCTGGAATACCTTGTACCAGAAAGCAAGAAAGTCCTAGAAGATTAGGCAGCACATGTCAAAAAAAACACAGAAGGCAGCTTCTGCAATTTGATCATCAAATTAGCCATGAATTAATTTGATAGTAATGAATTTTAACTGGCTGACCAACAGAGGAAATCATGAGCCCATATAGACAGAAATAAAAAATGAATAACTTGAAAGTTTGATTAGGAACAGGATATTGGCAGTTTTATGGTATTTCCTCATGAAATCTGGCAGACACTATCTCAATCATGTGATCAGAATGAATATCATCAATTATGGGATAAGTAAAATGCAATGAAATACACTTTTTTTTTTTTTGAGATGGAGTCTCGCTCTGTCTCCCAGGGTGGAGTACAGTGGTGCGATCTTGCCTCACTGCAACCTCTGCCTCCTGGGTTCAAGTGATTCTCCTGACCCAGCCTCCTAAGTAGCTGGGATTACAGGCATGCATCACCACACCCAGCTAATTTTTGCATTTTTAGTAGAGATGGGGTTTCACCATGTTGGCCAGGCTGGTCTCGAACTCCTGACCTCAGGTGATCCACCTGCCTCGGCCTCCTAAAATGCTAGGATTATAAGCATGAGCCATAGCTCCTGGCCCAATGAAGTAAACTTAACGTCGCTTCTGTGACAGTCCTATGAGAGTTGTATAACCTGAATCTAACCATGAGGAAACAGGCAAAGCCAAATTGAGGGATGATCTACAAAATAATCAGCCTGTAATCTTCAAATCTATCCAGGTCATGAAAGTCAAACCAAGACTGAGGAACTGTTCCAAATTGAATGAGACTAAAAGTGTGACTCTGAACTGAATCCTTTGGGACAATTGGAGAAACCTGAATGGAGTCTGAGGCCTGTTCTGGAAGTAGACGGTGTTCATTTCCCACTTTTGATGGTTGCATCGTGTTTCTAAGGAGAGAATGTTCTTATTTGTAGGAAGCACATACGCAAGGATTTGGGGGCCGATGGGCATTGTGTCAGCTTACTCTTAAATGATTCCAGGGGGAAAAGTGTTTATTCTGTCTTTACACTTTTCTGTAATTTTGTGATTGTCCAAAAAAATTTTGTCAAGAGAAAAAAAAATCAGTATGGTTGGACCTGGTCCGTATCACAAATTACAGACTTATAATGTGTGTGTGTTATTTTGTAATTGGTTTATTCAGATTCCAACAATGAGAAATGTTCCACATAAATGCCAGAGTTTGCTGTATACCTTAAATAAAGTGATCAAAAAAGAAAGGCATGTCCCATATTACTTTCACATGTGAAAACAGGAAGTATAACTTGGTATAACCACTAGAAAAACAAATATATATTCTGCTTTTTATTAAAGAATTTTTTTAAAGCCATCCATTAGGTCAATAATCAGTAAATTAAACTCATCGTTTTCTTTTGCACATGTATTTGTCATGGAATGTCCAGGTAAAAATCTTGTCTGACAGACAAAGTCAGCTCATGTGATTTCATAATCTAAGAAATTCAAATCTTGGGCCTACCTTGAGCTCCTCTTTGTGCCTTGGGGCATGGGTCCTGGGGCCTTCATGCCCACCTGACCCATTTATTGGTATATATCGCTCCTTCCTGACATTGCTTTGTGCTGGTTGCATCTTAAAAGTCTGTCTTGGAAGTAGCTTTTTTTTTTTTAGAGTCTCGCTCTGTCAATCAGGCTGGAGTGCAGTGGTGTGATCTTGACTCACTGCAATCTCCACCTCCCAGGTTCAAACAATTCTCCTGCCTCAGCCTCCAGAGTAGCTCAGCCTATAGGTGTACACCACTATGCCTGGCTAATTTTTATATTTTTAGTAGAAACAGTGTTTCACCATGTTGGTCAGGCTGGTCTTGAACTCCTGACCTCAAGTGATCCGCCTACCTCGGCTTCCCAAAGTGCTGGGATTACAGGCGTGAGCCACCGCACCTGGCCAGAAGTAACTCCTTAGGATCAGAGATCTTTAGGTACATTGCATTCCAAATTTATTTATTTTGTGACCAGAAGGAAATATTAAAAAAAAAAAAAAAAAAAAGATTTAAAGCAGTTCCATTAGAGCAAAGCATCTAAAACATTCTGTTCCCTTTGAGGTAAGATGTTAACTGGTCACATTGACCCTGATCCCCAAGGCTTCGTAGAATCCTCCTGCTCTCAAGTAGTGTCAGGCATAATTATTTTTTTTTCTCTACGAGTTTTATGTGCATGGTTTGGTCCTCATGTTGCTGCCCTAGCTCCGGGGCAGATCATTATTCAAGGACACCATTTTGCATTGCACTGCGAGGTCATTGTTAATGTCTCAGCAATTAAGCTCCTTCTTCCAGGCTGGTCCACTGAGGTGACACTGCAGGAACCCTGAAGTCACATGTTCTATTACAGAGAGCACTACACAATACTCTCTGGTATTTGGGTGAGCTTTTCTTTTAATTTTGAATGCTGTACATTTTCCTTCCTCTTTGTTTTTGCTTCTGAGTACAGCTTTGTGATGTAGTTCATGCAACGCATAGGATGGGAAGCTGAAAGAAAAAACAAGTTAAAGACAAATATTTATTTTGAATAACATTGCACCCATTTACTTGAAACACTTTGATTGGATGTCATATTTTTAGGTTCATGTATTGTTTTATAAAAACCTAAAACTCTGCTGGGTGCGGTGGCTCACTCCTGTAATCCCAGCACTTTGGGAGGCCGAGGCAGGCGGATCACGAGATCAGGAGATCGAGACCATCCTGGCCAACGTGGTGAAACTCCGTCTCTACTAAAATACAAAAAAATAGACGGGGGTGGTGGTGAGTGCCTGTTGTCCCAGCTACTTAGGAGGCAGGGGAATCACTTGAAGTCAGGAGGCAGAGATTGCAGTGAGCTGAGATCACACCACTGTACTCCAGCCTGGCTACAAAGTGAGTCACTGTCTTAAAGAAAAAAAAACCTAAAACTTACTGGTACATATAAATGGCCTGAAGGCGTTATTACACTGTTTCTTTCTTTTTTTTCGAGACAGGACCTCGCTCTGTCGCCCAGACTGAAGTGCAGTGGTGTAGTCCCCGGCTCAAGTGATTCGCTGACCTTAGCCTAGCTGGAACTACAGGCACACACCACCATGTCCAGCTAATTTTTAAATTATTTGTAGAGATGAGGTTTCACTATATTGCCTAGGCTGGTCTCAAACATGGGTTCAAGTGATCCACCCCCCTCAGCCTCCCGAAGTCTTGGGACTATAGGCATGAGCCACTGCACAGGCCTACACTATCATTTTGAAAGTCTTACTACATAAACATTATACTGGTAAACCTGGAATAAAACATACAGATATTTCTGCTGTAAAATAATCTGTTGCTGAACACAACACATTGCCTCAGCAAAATTGCACACTAAAAATAACAGGGCTTACTGCAAAAGCAGGGTTGGGGTAGATCGCGCAAAGCCTATGTAACTGTACAAAGAGACTAGAGACGGCCCCAGAGAGTATGTTTAATATGTGCAAAACAACACAATTAAAATGCTGAATTTGAGGGTGCTAAGGCAAGGAGGGTGAAAAGTGAAGGTTTGAGCTCAGAAGAAAGTGAACCCCCCGGCAAACCCCTAAAGATGTACTTCTCTTGTTGCCCAGGCTGGAGTGCAATGGCGCGATCTCGGCTCACCGCAACCTCCGCCTCCTGGGTTCAGGCAATTCTCCTGCCTCAGCCTCCTGAGCAGCTGGGATTACAGGCACGTGCCACCATGCCCAGCTAATTTTTTGTATTTTTAGTAGAGACGGGGTTTCACCATGTTGACCAGGATGGTCTCGATCTCTTGACCTCGTGATCCACCCGCCTCGGCCTCCCAAAGTGCTGGGATTACAGGCTTGAGCCAACATGCCCGGCCCAAGATGTACTTTTCATGGGGAGGAAGTCCTTGAGTAATGCAGGTACTCATTTTAAATTTTCTTAAAGTTGGCTGGCTGTGGTGGCTCACGCCTGTAATCCCAGCACCTTGGGAAGCTGAGGTGGGTGGATCACCTGAGGTCAGGAGTTTGAGACCAGCCTGACCAACATGGTGAAACCCCATCTCCACTAAAAATACAAAATTAGCTGGGTATGGTGGTGCATGCCTGTAAACCCAGCTACTTGGGAGGCTGAGGCAGGAGAACCGTTTGAATCTGGGAAGCGGAGGTTGCAGTGAGCCAAGACTGTGCCACTGCACTCCAGCCTGGCAACAAGAGGGAAAACTCCTTCTCAAATAAATAAATAAATAAATTTGAACTTCAAGGGCTTCCGCTAAAGGTCATAATTCTACTCCCACTGTTTTGGTTCCTTTTGCCTAGGAAAAACAGCACAGGGAGCAACCCAATTCACACATGATATTAACATCATTTTCCTATCCGCCAGGTGAGTATGTGATGACCGGCATTTAGAAACAGGGGTTGCAACACAATTGACATGCTGTTTACACACATTTACCCCTCCCACCCCCAGTTTTCACACAGTCAATTCACTTGTGTTCCTCTCCCAACTAATACATCTATTTGTTTTTTCCATCTCACACTCTAGCAGGTCAAAACTTAAAGAGGCAGAGGTGTTATAAAAGACAAGCTTCCTACCAAAACTTCAGTAAAACCAATAGAATAGAGCGGCAAAACTCTCTGTATCTCTTGCAACTTCTGGCAGGTAGAATAATGTAGTTTACATGGAGGAAATAATATGGTTGGAAGTGGAATATTCCTGCTTTTCTATAGTCCTAGCTTCTGCCTTCCAGATCTTTAACAAGAATATAGACCCCCCACCTCCACTTCCCCATACACAATTTCCTTCCCATCTGATTCTCTTCATTTTCTTTGCATATTTTGTCTGAAGAATTGCAATGAAGTCATCCAAAGGACCTGAAACATGCCTTCTTGAATTAGTTAAGCCTGTATTCACTCATTTATTATCAAATACCCTGTGCTAGATTCTGAGGATACAGAGTAAATCTGATTACTCCCACCTAAAGGAGTATTGTAGTAGCTATATAAAAACACCAAAAATTACAATATGTAGGAAGAAGTGCTTCTATGACAAAGGTGCCATAGAATCCTCTGGTGGTCTAGGGGTATCCCTGTGCGTGACATCAAAGAGTCAATGGTATATCTTCTGCTGCATGAACCTAACTGCTACTATTTATTTTTGCAGTTGAGCTTCCTTAAGTTCTACAAGATGATTTAGGAGACTTTCTAGTGCTAAAAAAAGAATCAAAATTTGATTCTTCTCCGTCTTTTTAAGGGCAACTAATTCATTGTGATGGTTAATTTTAAGTGTTAACTTGGGTGGATTAAGAAATACCTCAAATCTGGTAAAGCATTATTTTAGGGTGTGTCTATGAGGTTGTTTCTAGAGGAGATTAGTGTGTGAGTCTAAGTGGAGTAGGTGGGCATCGAGATTTGCTCTTGATGTGGGGGGCCACCAAGCAATCCATTGGGGGCCGGAAAAAACCAAAATCAGAGAAAAGGCAAGCGCATTGGTCTGTCTGCTGGAGCGGGAATACACTTCTCACCTCCCGTCCTTGGACAGCAGAACTCTAGGCTCCCTGGCCTTTGGATTTCAGGACTTATACCAGTGGTCCCCTGCATTCTCAGGCCTTTGAACTTGGACTGAGCCAGGCTACCAGCATCTCAGGGTCTCCAGTTTGCAGACTTTCTATGCAGGCACTTGTCAGCCTCCATAATCTCAGGAGCCAATTCTCCTAATAAATCCCCTCTCATATAGATATATATATATTCTGTTATCTCTGTCTCTCTGGAGAACTCTGACTAATCCATTAATGAACCTCATTGTTCAAATCTTAGGTCACACAGTTGACTTACATTGGCCATTTTTCTCTTGAGATGATGTTTCTTCATTATTTGACCTTGATCTGTAACTTTCTAGTGTGTGTTCTGAAACTTCGTTTTCTACAAGAAAAGAAAATCAAGTGACTAATTTCTGATGCCACAGACATGTAGAAATGTATGTTTGAATAACATAATACCTCTGTTAATGTGCAATAGTATACCATGCCCCTCCCATAACTCATGCCCTCATTAATTCAAAACATGGTGTTTTGATTCCTGTAGGCACTGTGCTAGGCCGTCATGGGACTTTTATCCTTCCGTGAATACAATTGTCTATCACTTAATGCCAATTTCTGGAGCCATGCTAGTTTCTATTGATTATGCACTTTTTTTTTTTTCTTTTTTTGAGGCAGTCTCATTCTGTCGCCAGGCTGGAGTTCAGTGGTGCCATCTCAGCTCACTGAAACCTGTGCTTCCTGGGTTCACGTGATTCTCCTGCCTCAGCCACCTGAGTAGCTGGAACTACAGGCATGCGCCACCATGCCCAGCTAATTTTTGTATTTTTAGTAGAGACTGGGTTTCACCATGGTGGCCAGGATGGTCTCGATCTCTTGACCTCGTGATCTGCCTGCCTCAGCCTTCCAAAGTGCTGGGATTACAGGTGTAAGCCACCGTGCCTGACTGATTATACACTCTTATACTATAGTCCCTGAAGAATCACACTTGAATTTACTAGAAAACAAACACTTGCTTATTTGAGTGACAGCGCTTATCAAATAGATTATGCAGTGTCTGACAGAAAGCTTTAATGGACAGAATTTCCCTTTTTTCAGCCATTTGTTCTGGCATCTTATAGCCTCCATCAAGTTTCCTGCCCACTCACCTTTTTTCCATATGACATGGGCTTTCCGGAGCTTCATGATGAAGAGCTGGACTATGATGAAGAGTATGAAAATGAGGAAGGACACCAGTGTGAGCAGCAAGATGCCACTTTTCTTCCTTGCCAATCCTACATACTGAGGATTTGCTTCTATAAGGAAAATGTAAAAGAAGTTTAGATACATTGGTTTTTTTATTTGTCTTTTTGTTTTTGTTTTGTGTTTTTTTGGTCACTGGAGAATATGTAACAATACTTCTACATTTATTTATTTATTTATTTAGAGATGGAATTTTGCTCTTGTTGCGCAGGCTGGAGTGCAATGGTATGATCTTGCAGGTAGAGACTGATCACTGCAATCTCTACCTCCTAGGTTCAAGTGATTCTCCTGCCTCAGCCTCCCAAGCAGCTGGGATTACAGGCGCCTGCCACCAGCTCCGGCTAATTTTTGTATTTTTAGTAGAGACGGGGTTTCACCATGTTGGCCAGGCTGGTCTCGAATTCCTGACCTCGTGATCCACCTGCCTCTGCCTCCCAAAGTTCTGGTATTACGGGTGTGAGCCACCGTGCTCAGCCAACAATACTTATACAATGTGATATAAGCTAATAGACAGCTCAGGTGAAGAGATGAGAAAGAGCTTACCCTGAAGGTAAAGAGACTTACACTGTTCATTCTCTGAGAACAAGCAAACAGGCATACAACAAACAAGGCAATTATGTGTGACAATTTGAAAAGATTTTTTAAGTTACATAGTTATTGGACTAGTTATTTTTTATTTCTAGGAAAAGCGTACGAGAAAATCAACTTAAATTATACTGAGGGGATTCAAATTATCTGTAGAAATGATTTTTAGCAAAGTATAGTTAAGTAGCAAGACAGATTATTAAGGAGTTTAAAAATTATCCAAATAAAATGAAAATTTATTTATCTTGGTTAGCTTAAATATGGCCCTACAGGAAGGCATTTGGGCTAAATCAGATGAGCTCTTAAAAATATTTCCAGCCAGGTACAGTGGCTCAAGCCTGTAATCTCAACACTTCGAAAGGCTGGGGTGGGAGGGCTTCTTGAGGCCAGGAGTTTCAGACCAGCCTGGGCAACACAGTGAGATTCTGTCTCTACAAAAAAAAAAAAAAAAAAAAATTAGCCAGGAGCAGTGGTGCACACCTGTAGTCCTAGCTACTTGGGAGACTGAGGCAGGGGGATCACTTGAGTCCAAGAGTTTAAGGTTATGGTGAGCTATGATTGTGCCACTGCACTCCAACCCCTGGGGACAGAGTGAGACCTGTCTCTTGAAAAAAAAAAAAAAAAAAAAAAAGGCTTTCTAAACCTAGAATTCTGATTCTACAGGCTGTAGTTTTGCTAAATGTCCTGGTCACCTCATCTCAACCAACAAATAATTAAGGGGGACCAGCTACGTGTAGGACTTCGTTCTTGGAGCTGCAGAAGGTACAGTTCCTATGCTTTGGAGATTAGCTCTCTGTATATGTAAACAAATTAATAAAAACAAACAAAAGTAAGATATGTCAAATTCTACCTCCATATGTATTTATATCATAGTGTGTTCAGGGGTTCAGAGGCAAGAATGGTCTCTGAGGGGTGAGCTGGTCAAAAAAGTTTTCAGTGAGGGTATTGGCCTTGGAGGAGGAGGAAGGAGAGGTGAGATGAGGTTTCCTCTTCCACCAGGGGCAGTTAGGATAAACGAGAACAGGGCGATTGAGAAAGAATGATGTGCTGGGCGCGGTGGCGCGTGCCTGTAGTCCCAGCTACTTGGGAGGCTGAGGTGGAAGGATCGCTTGAGCCCAGGAGTTGTGGGCTGTAGAGCACTATGCCGATTAGGTGTCTGTACTAAGTTCGGTATCAATATGGTGACCTCCCAAGAGCGGGGGACCACCAGGTTGCCTAAGGAGGGGTGAACCGGCCCAGGTCGGAAACAGAGTAGGTCAAAACTCCTGCACTGATCAGTAGTGGGATCCCACCTGTGAATAGCCACTGCATTCCAGCCTGGGCAACAAACATATCGAGACCCTGTCTTTAAAAAAAAAAAAAAAAATGAAAAGAAAAGAAAAAAGAAAAAGGATGATATTTTCAGAGAAAAATATACATCTCATAGAGACTTTGTAGATACAAGACTGCAGAAGTAGGTAATACATGGCACCTAATTAGATGTTTGGGACTCCTGTCTGTGTTGTAGACTTCAGGAAGCCACAAAGGATTTTAGAACACAGGTATGCAGAGTGGAAAGAGATAGTTTGATGGTAGGGTGCTAAAAGTGAACCAGAATAGGAGAAACTGAAGTTATAATATCCCATGCGGGAGATGATAAGAGCCTAGATTGGGAAGTTAGCAGTGATAATGGGCAAGATACCTGAAAGAGAAGACTCAAAAGTTCTTGGAAATTGACTGATTTTATATACGTGTGTGTGTACATATGCATATACATATACATATTTGTACACATACACACGAGTGAAAGAGAACACTAACGTTTGGGGCCTGTGTGATGCTTTGGACAAGCTTATTTAGAGAGACGCTGTCTCTAGAAACAAAACAAAACCAGAAAAGAAAAAGAAAAAGAAAAATCTCCTTTTTTTTTTTTTTTTTTTTTTTTTTTTTAATTGAAACAGAGTCTTGCTCTGTCGCCCAGGCTGGAGTGCAGTGGCACGATCTTGGCTCACTGCAACCTCCATCTTCCAGGTTTAAGCCATTCTCCTGCCTCAGCCTCCTAAGTAGCTGGGATTATAGGTGTGAGCCACTAATTTTTGTATTTTTAGTAGCGACAGGGTTTCACCATGTTGGGCAGACTGGTCTCAAACTCCTGACCTTGTGATCCACCTGACTCAGCCTCCCAAAGTACTGGGATTACAGGAGTGATAAATCTTTTGCCTGCTGGCTACAGGAACCATCTTGGGAATGAGTAAACTCTTTAAAAAATAAGGGAAGAACAAAAGAGAGAGAAGTGAAATCAGAGTATACACATTTATAAAAAGTCAGAAGAGGAAGATAAGTTAATTGATAGATACAGAGAAGTAGTGGTTAGGAGTAAATAACAGAACCAGGAAAAGTATATCAAGAAGCCAAGAGGTAACTAAGTCAAGGAGGGACTAAGGAGTGATTAACCAATCATGTCCTAAAGGGCAGAAAGGTCAAGAAAAGGGAGGACGGACAGAGGCCATTGGACTTACCGATTAAGAGGTTAAAATGTCTAGTGTTTATTCTAAATGCAGTGGGTGACACTTACCGGTGGCCAAATCAGGATCTTGAGCAGCTTGTTCTTTGTCTTCCTTGTCAATCTCTGATGTACTAGAATCTTCCATTCCTGAGACTAAAGTGAAAGAAAATAAAACATGAACTAGGCATACATTATACACATGTGACTACATACAACTGTGGTTACATAAGTCTTCCCAGAGCAGCTTGGGAAGCCAAATTAAAAAACAGCACGGAGATCATTTTTTAACTATGGATTTCTTGCAAAAATAGTTGCAAATGGCTAGGCTTACTTTGCCTTATTTTTTTAAGGCGAATGTTTTGAACACTTACTCTGTGCCTGGCCTTGAACTCAGCACTTGGTATATGTTCTTTCTCACTACAGCTCTGAGAAAATGGAGGTTTAGAGCAGTTACGTAAGCTAGCTAAAGTCGTGTAGCAAGTAAGTGGCCAAGCCAATGCATAAACTCTGTTTTATCTAAATCTGGAACCCAACATTTAAACCATTATTTCATACTTCCATCCTGAATCAGGCCTAATAGGGAGAAGGCTTTAGGATGCATTAAGATAACAACAGAACACCGAGGAATGGCGTTCCAAGCTTTATTTATGGAAAGCCTACAGCCTGAAATGCAGAAAGCAATGATTTTTATGTTGAAATATAGCTTCAGTTATCATTCAAACCTCTGCTTGCCTGCCCATTAGAAGTGGGATGTACTATGATGTTTTTGCCAGACAAGATAAATTATAAAAAATAAGAGACCTTTTTTCCCTTCAGATTTTACTGCTTATATTTCCAATTTTTTTCCCTTCTGCAGTTTTTTGCTTTTTAGCCCATTGCACAGCGCCACTATGTGGCTCCTGAGGGGAATAAAGCCTCCTAGTCTATTGAAAATGGGTATTAAAGGTAATAAAATCGTAGAAATGGAAAGCCGAAAGGAATTTTAGAAACCATATTTTTAAAGTCTTATGTTATATATGAAAAAGCAGAGCAGACAATTGAGTTGTTCAGTGGTGGTGCAAGCCATTAAAGATAACTAGATTCTAAACACGTTTACAAATATTGGATTATTAAAGCAAGTGATGTGGTTGTTCCACTTCATAATATTTTCAATTTCCACTGCCCTTCAAAAAATTGTATGGTATATGTTGTATTTATCAGTGTTTAGAAATCTCAAACATTTACTTTTAAATATTATTTAGGATACACATTTTTAAAAATGTGATCTGATACTCAGAACTATGAACATGATAATGATCTGAAAGCCCTTATTCCACCAAATGAAATTATTATAGAGACACTACATGAAATGGAAAGAGAATATGTAGGAATTTATGCCTTTCTGAATGAGGCTAATAGTCTTGCTCAAAGCACCATAACCAGTTCTTTCTCTTTCTCTTTCATTTTCTTTCTTTCTTGCTTGCTTTCTTGCTTTCTTTCTTAATTCATTGAGCAGCTGCTATTGCCGGATACTATGCTAGGTAAAATATAAAGTTAAATTAAATATATGATCATTGCCCCGAGTTAACCTCTAGTGAATTCACTGTCTAAAAAACCTGGAATTATAATCCAAGCTTTCTAATATATTCTGCATTTGTAATTCAATCCTATCATCAAAAATGAGCTGAGTTCTTGACAACTAAGTAACTGATGTGCCTTCAAAGGTGATTTTGTTATTCAATGACAACACGAAATCTCCAGCTGCTGCTTCTTTTCTCTTTGTTGATATCAAGTCAGTGTTTTGTGTTTGGTGTGCTGCAGATGAGAAAACAAAGAAACAAGTCTCCCTCTAAATGAATTCAATCTTATCCTTTACTGCAGAGGAAATTCAAATGTCACAACCATGAATGTGTGTGTGTAGATGTGCACATCTCTATCTCAAGCAAACTGTAACTGAACTTACAAGGCTTTATGTCACCCTGAAGCCCATCCCACTAAGTAAGTACTCCTATGCCTGATGTGGTTCTACTCCACGATGCTACAAAACTGGAGCCAGTTGGAGGGGGCCTGTATGGTTTTCATAGAAATTAAAACAAAACATATTCTTAAAACTTAGAATAAGAAAAATGACCTTCCCAATGAGGCACAATTTTTAAAAGAAGTTTTAATGATTTTGACACTTACCAGTACTAGTGGGCTGCTGTGGATCTTGAGAGGATAGAGAGCTTCTCTCCAGAGCATCTGAAGCTGTCTCTTCATCAGCAACTAGGAAAGGGGAAAAACAAAATTCTGCTACTATGGAGAGCAGTTTTACCCACATTGTGCTCAGTAAAAGAGATTGGAGAATGTATTTGGCGGCTCCCTCCTTGTAGAGGTTGTGCAGAAACCCCAGAACTGTGTGTTCTGAGGCACCTGCTCTGGTTTTTGAAACTGCATCCCACTGAGTGCCCATCTGCTCACCTGCCTGGCTTAAAAGCATAGCATGCTGGACTTCTGTGTGGTGGCAGTGGTAGGCAAAAGGTAGTCACTGTTTCTATCTGTGTCCTTTTATCCATCAATCAATCCCTCTGTCTGTTTATCTACCCATCCACCTATCTATCTACCTGTTAGTTAGATGGCTCTGGAACCAGCCTCAGACTGGGTTGACTTCTACTGTTGCTGTTTACTTGCTCCTGAATGAGTTGGACAAGATGCCCAAACTCTCTAACACTGTTTTTCTTTTTTTAATCTGTAAAATGGAGATACTGACAGCATTTACCCCTTCAAGGGTTTTGTGAGAATCAATAAGTTCATTTTATAACATGTTTAGGACAATGCCTAGCTATTTAGAAAGCACGATGCTAAATGTTATTGTACAATATTAACCAATGCTTAGGAATGTTTCCAGAGGATCCGCTTAGCATGGGTTTCACCAGTCAATGAACAGACCCACATCCAGGAAGCAAGTAACAGCTGTTCCTGTCACTTTATAAATACTAATACTGACATGTCAGGCTGGGCGCGGTGGCTCATGCCTGTAATCCCAGCACTTTGGGAGGCTGAGGCAGACCGATCATGTGAAATCAGGAGTTTGAGACTAGCCTGGCCAAAATGGTGAAAACCCGTCTCTACTAAAAATACAAAAAACTAGCTGGGAGTGGTGGTGTGTTCCTGTAATCCTAGCTACTCGGGAGGCTGAAGCAAGAGAATCGCTTGAACCTGGAAGGCAGAGGTTGCAGTAAGCCAAAATCACACCACTGTACCCCAGCCTGGGCAACAGAGTGATGAGACTCCTTCTTGGAAAGAAACAAAAAACAAAAACAAAAAACTGACACATTGCAGGTGGCTCATGTTTTTATAAAATTTGTGAATGCTTCTTGGTATTTATTTAATCAAATACTTTTCCATGGTTTTAAAAATGTATCTGGTTAATCAAACATTTAAAATGTATGAAAAATGCCGGGCGCTGTGGCTCACGCCTGTAATCCCAGCACTTTGGGAGGCCGAAACGGGTGGATCACGAGGTCAAGAGATCGAGACCATCCTGGTCAACATGGTGAAACCCCGCCTCTACTAAAACTACAAAAAATTAGCTGGGCATGGTGGCGCGTGCCTGTAATCCCAGCTACTCAGGAGGCTGAGGCAGGAGAATTGCCTGAACCCAGGAGGCGGAGGTTGCGGTGAGCCGAGATCGCGCCATTGCACTCCAGCCTGGGTAACAAGAGCGAAACTCCGTCTCAAAAAAAAATAAAATAAAATAAAATAAAATGTATGAAAAATATAAAAATGCCTGAATTGTGTGTAAGAGCTCTGAGAATAGAAAGAATTACTAAGGGGGCTAGGCGCGTTGGCTTATGCCTGTAATCCCAGCGTTTTGGGAGGCCGAGGCGGGTGGATCATGAAGTCAAGAGATCGAGACCATCCTGGCCAACATGGTGAAACCCCATCTCTACTAAAAATACAAAACATTAGCCAGGCGTGGTGGTGTGTGCCTGTAGCCCCAGCTACTCGGGAGGCTGAGCAGAATTGCTTGAAACTGGAAAACGGAAGTTGCAGTGAGCCGAATCATGCCACTGCACTCCAGCCTGGCAATAGAGCGAGACTCCGTCTCAAAAAAAAAAAAAAGAAAGAAAGAATTACTAAGGAAACATTATAGAGATGGTAGTATAGACTATAAAGCTAAAATCAACTCTGACTGCACAGATGCCAGAGAAGATTGAAGAAAGAGGAGAGCTGCTGACAATGAAAAAAGGGAAAAGCTGAAATGCTAGTCAATTAGAGGTACTGGGAACAAATCACAAGAAGAATATGGGGCTAGGCACAGTGGCTCACCCCTCTAATCTCAGCACTGTGGGAGGCTGAGGCAGGCAGATTCCTTAAGCCCAGGAGTTTGAGACCAGCCTGGGGGACATGGCAAGACCGCCATGGGCATGATGGTGCACCCCTGTAGTTCCAACTACTCAGGAGGCCAAGGTAGGAGAATCATCTGAGCCCGGGGAGGTCGAGGCTGCAGTAAGCTGTGATCACACCATTGTACTCCAGCCTGGATGACAGAGTAAGATCCTGCCTCAAAATTTTAAAAAAGATCATGGGAAATACTGGGGACATATAGAATAAAATTTATCAATAGTGATTAAAATCTTCTAACATAGTGTATACTATGTGAATTCAGAAAATTATGTTTATGTACAAAACGTGTTTTATCTATACATGTTTAAAACTAGATTCTGAACTAACTTGGCTTTATCCTCTCAATTAACAAACTAGCAAATTGTTGCATTTAGACAATGTTTTGATTAGGTGGATACCACTACATGATGATCTACCTTCCTAGCTGGTCAGAATATTATAATCTTTATGCACTAGCTGCAGTAACTATTTAAATTACAATTAACTAAAATGAAATAATATTAAAAATTTAGGCTGAGTGCAGTGGTTCACGCCTGCAATCCTAACACTTTGGGAGGCAAAGGTGGGCGGATCACCTGAGGTCAGGAGTTTGAGACCAGCCTGGCCAACACAATGAAACCTGTCTCTATTAAAAATACAAAAATTAACTGGGCATGGTGGCGGGTGTCTTTAATCCCAGTTACTCGGGAGGCTGAGGTAAGAGTACTGCTTGAACCTGGGAGGTGGAGGTTGCAGTGAGCCGAGATTTTGCCGTTGCACTCCAGTCTGGGTGACAAGAGCGAGACTCCATAATCACACCACTGAACTCCAGCTTGGGTAATAGAGTGAGACCATGTCTCAAAAAAACAAAACCAAACAAAAAACCAAAGGTAGCCTGTTGGAAAATCAATTTCTGTTGCTCTGTTCTCTTTCTCCATGCATCACACTCTGGCTTTCTCAGAGGAAGACACTGCTTTCCTCAGGACCACCCTACTCCTGGTGCTGGTATGACCCTCCCTTTCCCCAGGTCCTTCTGTGCAGAGCATCGGAATGAAAGGGGTCAGGGCCCTTATGTGTAAACATGTTTTAAAGCATCCTCAGCTAGTGATATTTTTTACGTAATTGGTTGAACAAAATGTTTGTAATATCTGTATGTCAATGTAGTAGCAGCTAGCCAAATGGAAAAAACAATGAACCAATGGAAGCCATCAACAGCTGACACTGCTATTTCTCTTTGAATACTATTTGGAGATCTGGCAGTGAGTACAGAAAATAGATCACAAATAAAACTCAAGTCTTAGCCTATTATTATTATTATTATTATTATTTTGAGACGGAGTCTCGCTCTGTTGCCCAGGCTGGAGTACAGTGGCTCGATCTCAGCTCACTGCAACCTCCGCCCCTTGGGTTCAAGTGATTCTTTTGCCTCAGCCTCTCGAGTAGCTGGGACTACAGGTGCTTGCCACCATGCCCGGCTAATTTTTGTATTTTTAGTAGAGATGAGGTTTCACCATGTCAGCCAGGCTGGTCTCAAACTCCTGACCTCAGGTGATTCACCCGCCTTGGCCTCCCAAAGTGCTGGGATTACAGGCGTGAGCCATCGCGCTTGGCCTTAGCCTATTATTAAAAACATCTTTAGCTATAATTTTGAGTCATGTAGAGCTATAGCCATAAAAGGGGAGAATGGCCATTTCCCCCTTCATAGTCATTTTTGTAGTTGGCTTAAACAATTGCTGAAAATTAAGAATGCATTTTTTTCAACATTGTTGGTTCTCCTATTGAAGAATCTGAATGTCTTTAGGAAGCTTTTAGATATAGCCTCATCCCCCACATGCCCTGTGCTCCAATTCTGCTGGAGGTGGAGGTGTGGGGTGGGGATGACTCACAGAGAGGGGCGGGGGTGGTTGTGTAAGGTTACTGTACAGCTCGGTCTGTGGGTCCCTGCATCTTGCGGTACAGCTTCTGCAATGACGACTTTTGGTTTGGTGAGAAAGTGACCCGTGGAAAGCACGCAGTAGTCAGAGGGGACCTGTTAACCACAGCCACAGCCTCTATAGGGCAGCATGGCAGCTTTCCCACAGTGAGATTCTCCTAAGCAAGCTTGCCTTTCAGCATCAGCTATTTCATTTGATAAAAGAGCTTTTTCAATAAATGCATTGTCATCTAACAGTTTCCTTTTTCACTAATGTGAATAATTCCTTATATTTCAGGAATCTATTACACTGAGAAGTACCTTGTAAAACAATGAAACTCAGAGTCCTACTAATTGCACACATCCTATAGGATTCATGCATCTTAAAGGATACCTCTTGGCTCAAAAGAGTTGTGTACAGTTTTAAGATTATTTCTTCGACTTTTGGGGAAAGAATCACAGAATAGAGGTTCTGAGAACGGAGGCAACTTCTCTTCACATTTAATATTGGATGTTTAAAATGGTGTTCAACTCAGAATATTAACATGGTTACACTAAAGTCTTCAAAGCAGTTATAACAATAAAATAGACCGGCATGGTGGCTCACACCTGTAATCCAAGCACTTTGGAGGTCAACGTGGGCGGATCACCTGAGGTCGGGAGTTCAAGACCAGCCTGACCAACATGGTGAAACCCTGTCTTAAAAAATAAATAAAATAAATCTAAACAGGAATCATGTCTTCCTGTAACTGTGTGTTTCATATTGACATAAAATGATATTGACAATTTCGGTTTATTTCAGCTAGTATTATCTCCTTCTGGGTCAAGTACAAAGATATAGTTTCATTTGATTGCTCCACAAACACAACTGCAATAAAACTATTTAAAGTCATTATCAAAAAGCAAGCATGACACTATTTGCATATGGCACCATATTGCTAGGCTTTCTGCTGAACTGGGGTTCTTTTTTTTTTGAGACGGAGTTTTTCTCTTGTTACCCAGGCTGGAGTGCAATGGCGCGATCTCGGCTCACCGCAACCTCCGCCTCCTGGGTTCAGGCAAGTCTCCTACCTCAGCCTCCTGAGTAGCTGGGATTACAGGCACGCACCACCATGCCCAGCTGATTTTTTGTATTTTTTAGTAAAGACGGGGTTTCACCATGTTGACCAGGATGGTCTCGATCTGTTGACCTCGTGATCCACCTGCCTCGGCCTCCCAAAGTGCTGGGATTACAGGCTTGAGCCACCGCACCCGGCCAGAACTGGGGTTCTTTTGAACGTTGGAACAGTTGAAATTCTGTCACTCACCAGGAGAAATTTGCTATTAGGAAGAGTTTTGTTGGCAGTAATCTCACTCTGAAGGACTTTGCCCACTGCATTTAATTTTGTTTGACAGTGTAATATTAAAGTAAATCAAAAATTATTAAAGACAATCATTAGCTCTTCTTACCCAAATCTTCAAACCGGAAGCGTGCTGCTAGTTTTCCCCCTTGCAGACCTCCGTGTCGGATAATGCAATCCACCGTTGAATTTTTGCCATATGTGTGAACCATGAGAGTGCTGGTAGAATTACATTTCTTCCCATCAGTTTCAAATTCATGGTGGGTTCCACCTATGTAGCAATTTAAAGACGTTATGGTACGTAATGCTATTGGATGAGATTGGTTCTATTAGAGGCCAATGGCCTTGATTTCATGACAAACATTAGATTTCTAACCTCATTCTAACCTCAGCCAGTTGCTTTGTATATGCTTGGCTCTCATCACAAAGGCAAATAGATGTATGACAGTAGATGATGAGTTTCTACAAACTTTTCAGTACTGGAAAAAAATTCAAAGCTTAAGAAGATCAGCTTGATGTTGCTACGAAACACAAAGACCCAAGACCTTATTCTGGTTAAATGAATAAGATGAATTAAAGGGGAAGTCTTATAATGAAGTAGAATTGACACTACACTGGGAATCAGGTCTGGGTTTAGGTCTTTTCTCTCTAGAACTCCATTTGACCCTCAGTGTTCTCAGCTGTAAAGGGTCCTTTGCAACTCTAAGAATGTTGATTAACCAGCCAGGCACAGTCCCAGCACTTTGGGAGGCCGAGGCGGGTGGATCACCTGAAGTCAGGAGTTCGAGACCAGCCTGGCCAAATGGTGAAACCCCGTCTTTACTAAAAATACAAAAATTAACTGGGTGTCGTGGCATGTGCCTGTAATCCCAGCTCCTCCTGAGGCTGAGGCAGGAGAATTGTTTCAATCCAGGAGGCAGAGGTTGTGGTGAGCCAAGATTGCACCACTGCACTTCAGTCAGGGAGACAGAGTGAGACGCCATCTCAAAAAAAAAAAAAAAAAAAATGTTGATTACATAGATATCAAAGATAAGGTAATGCATATTGAAATGTAAGCAAACTTACTGCTAAAACAGTACGCAAGCACCATAATTAGTTGTCCTATTTCAAAGGCTCAACCTTTAGAGGCTTTGCTACAAGAATCTTTTTAATCTGTCCCTGTGGGTATGGCACAATATAGTACTAAACAATATCGGGAAGACCATATCTGTTCCAATTACATGTATTATGTTAAATGTATTTTTGATTTTGTGTCAGGGAAAAAGTTTACGCTCAGAGATATTATACTTCTGTATTATACTTATTTTAGAAAATTTTGTGAAATTTTAAAAAGTCATCATATTTCACTTTAGATTTTTTTACCTGTTTTAAACAAAACATTTTCTTTATCTGTGATTAGCCTTACAAGATTAAGGCATAATATTGATTGGTTCTAAGAATAACTTGTCTGGAAAAGAACTAATGAAATATTAAATGATGTCTTCTGGCGCCTCCTGCCACCAGAGGGTGCCAAAACATTTAAAAATCCCCTGGAAATTTGAGTAGGAAGAAAGACAAAGAAGAAAATAGAACCATTTCTGCACCTACTGGAGACCTCCATGCCATTCCCAAGTAGCCAGGTTATCTGCGGAGGGGGCTTGCTTCTCAAGGCGGAGCACATGAGTACAGCATGTTCTTCTCCATTTTCCTTTCTGATAACTGAAACTTCCAGGATTGGCTTGACAGGAGTTGCTAGAAAAAAATTGATATTTCTGTGTTTAATTAGATATGAGTCTGCATATCTCAACAAAGCACAGAGCCTAATAATCTGTAGGTGATTGTTGTAGAGTATACTCTAATTAATGAGCATATATATATATGTGTGTATATATATATATATGTTTATATATATATATATATATATATATATATATATATAGAGAGAGAGAGAGAGAGAGAGAGAGATGGAGTTTCCCTGTGTCAACCAAGCTGGAGTGCAGTGGCACGATCTCGGCTCACTACAGCCTCTGCTTCCCAGGTTCAGGCAATTCTCCTGCCTCAGCTTTCTGAGTAGCTAGGATTACAGGCGCCTGCCACCATACCCAGCTAATTTTTGTGGTTTTAGTAGTGACAGGGGTTTCTCCATGTTGGCCAGGCTGCTCTCCAACTCAGGACCTCAAGTGATCTGGCCGCCTCCACCTCCCAAAGTGCTAGGATTACAAGCGTGAGCCCCCACGCCCACCCCGTATTGTTAACTTAGTCTCTTCCAGAATAGTCAAATGAAAGGGCTTTTATGTGCCTGCAAAGCCACTTTGGCTGAAGTCAGAATGTATGTTACTCAGCATGTCATTAGTCTCTGAAAATTCCCAAACAAGCAGTGTGGCAACAATTCTTAAAATGTGACATATGACTATATTTGGTGGGTACAGCACTAGATGAGGAAGAGAGATGTGAAATCTAGTACCACCTCTGCCACCAACTAGTTGTAAGAACTTGGGCAAGTCCTCCAGCTTCTTGGTATACTACTTTTCTTATCTGTAGCATGAAGGAGTGGACTCTTTCAGCTCTAAACTTTTGCGAGTCTTATGACTCACCTCAAGGAAAGCTTCTTCTGTCCCCTCCTAACATTAAAGGTGCATTTCTCTTATAAAGGGCACATTCGTCCTTTTTCTTTATACACCTGTCTTGGAAATACTTTCCCGTTAGGCTTACTTCTTCCTCCTTCCGTTCTACTTCCACTTCAGTCCAGAACTGAACTCTTCCCCGTTTACTTAACTCATCCATCTGCCATCAAGACCTGGTAAAGGCGCTTCTTAACCCCAAATATACATTAGATGTGTCACTTGCTGGCAATACAAAGATGAAAAAGACATGACCCTTCAGGTGGCTAACAGTCTGGCTGTAGCTTCAGCCCTAAACTGTTAATGAATAGATTATGTGTTGAGAGCAATGACAGAGGTATGCATGGGGTGCAATGAGACCCCTGAAGGACACACAACCAGCCGAGCCAGGATGTGTGCTCCCTTATAAGGAGAAGACAACGCTGAGCTGAGTTCCCTTGGTTCACAAAACCCCCTGAGAGCCACCCCTTCTCAGCTATTTTCCCATGAGGCCTTCACTGCATGGCAGGCACCACACTGCAATAATTCAACAAGAGATGTCTAAGACATTCATTCGGGTGATATGTGGGACGACGTTACTTAGAGATCAATAAAAAGCAATGTTTTTAATTGATCTGTTCTGCCACATAAAGCAAAACAAGTAAGGATAGTAAGACACATACTGGACACGATTGACCATCTGTAGAGCTGAGTAAGTCCTAGGCAATTAGGAGGCTGTCACTTCCTATCTGCACCTCCCAATTCCACCCTCCTACAGAAAAGAGGAATTGTTTGGCAGAGAGGATTTGAGCAGATTAAGCAGTGCAGCTACATCTGAATTCATTCTATCTTAGGATTTGCTGTCACGAGGTTCCACTTCATTTACATACACGTTTTATTTCCCAAGCTAGTGTGCAAACTCCTTATGGGCAGAGATTGTGCCTAATTCATCTTTGATTCCCTAGGGCCTCACATGGTGCCTGGCACATAGTCACAGCTCATCAAATATTAATTTTCTTTTCTTTTAGGTCCCCGGAGAGAAAATTTAGTTGCCGTCAAAGACAAATTTCACAAGTTCACAGTTCAATCTAGGGCTTACTTCTCAAAATGCTCTCTTCTGTTTCCTTTCAATAAAAGATGGCAGAGGTGTCCCAGGCAATGCCTTGCTCTAGGCAACATTTTTAAACTAAAAGGTTAAGTTTTAAAATGTTATATCGTGTTCCTATCCATATTGTTCCCATGCTGGGTTTACTTGCAGGTACCTACCCAGCACAATCACTTTCACTTCCTTAGTGCTCACGGAGTCGCTGTAATGCAAACACTTGTACACGCCTTCATCTTGCAGGGTCACATTAGGCACGCTGATGGAGAGCTGATTGGCCGAGTAATGAAGAAGCTGGTACTTGGAATTTTTAAAAGCTGTACAACAGGGAAATAGAGTGTCATGAGGAAAGGTATACGATGAACACAGATTGATCATTCACAGGAGTAGCTTTTGATTTTTAGACCTGTTTTTTTTTCGAGACGGAGTCTTGCTCTGTTGCCCAGGCTGGAGTACAGTGGCATGATCTCGGGTCACTGCAAACTTTGCCTCCCAGGTTCAAGCAATTCTCATGACAGCCTCCCAGGTAGCTGGGACTACAGGCATGCACCACCACACTTGGTTAATTTTTTATGTGTTAGTCGAGATAGGCTTTTACCACTTTGGCCAGGCTGGTCTAGAACTTATGAGCTCAAGCAATCCACCCACCTCGGCTCCCCAAAATGTTAGGATTACGGGCGTAAGCCACCATGCCTGGCCTGTTTTCACACTTTAAAGGCACAAATTGAGCTGCCTTCCAAATTCAACAGTCAGTAGTTGATGCCTCTCAAAGTTACTTTAGGAAATGGAATATTTTGATAGTGAGATAGTGAGCTCTGTGACTTAAACAAGTTGTTTTATTTGTGCCTGTAGGAAGGTAAAAACACTATGCAGATGAGGGATTCAGGTTGCAGAAGTAGTTTCTATTTTAAAAATATTTTTAGGCCGGGGCAGTGGCTCATACCTGTAATCCCAGCACTTTGGGAGACTGAGGCAGGCAGATCACCTGAGGTCGGGAGTTCAAGACCAACCTGACCAACACGGAGAAACCCTGTCTCTACCAAAAATACAAAATTAGCCGGGCATGGTGGCGCATGCCTGTAATCCCAGCTACTCGGGAGGCTAAGGCAGGAGAATCACTTGAACGAGGTAGAGGTGGCAGTGAGCAGAGATCGTGCCATTGCACTCCATCCTGGGCAGCAAAAGCAAAACTCCATCTCAAAACAAACAAACAAAAAAATTTAACGGAAAATGCCATTTACATCTTTGAAATCTGATTCATTTGAGATTATCCGGTCACAATGCGTGTGAAGAATGGAAGGTAAATGCATTAATAAATGCACCAATAAATGCACCAACCGATAAGGGATTTTTATTTTGTATTTTAAATGTTTGGAAAGTAAATGCCTTGATAAATGCACTAATTGATAAGTGCTTTGTATTTTTTATTTTAAAGTTTGTTATTATCTGAAATTTCCCACAGATTCTGACTTCATCCTTCCAGGTATTTAGCCAATGGCAAAAAATACTTAGCTCCAGAAAGTTCCAGCCAATATCAAGTGTTTCTCTTGATGGTGTAATGACCTGGGATTCCTATCTAAGGTCAAAACTCCTTTAGCAAATCAGAGGCTCCTGACATGAGTGTTTTCATCTGTTCATTTTTGTTTTCCACTGTTAAGATGTATAATATAAACAAGTCTACGATAGATAGCTAAGCCTTGAACAACTGATCAAGGAAGGTGTTCCTTATCTGGAACAATATGTACCCTGGGGCACTGACAGTATATGAATTAGAATTTAGGGGTTCTCAGTCTCTGCTCCATTGACATTTGAGTCAATAGTTCTTTGGTTGTGGGGCTGCCCTGTACATTGCAGGATGTTTGCAGCATCCTTGGCCTCGACCCACTAGATGCCAGAAGCACTGCCTGCTTTCTACATGCGACACAATCAAAACTATCTCCAGACTGTCCGGCGTCCACTGGAAGGCAAGAGCAGTAACTGAGCTAGATCAAGCCATTCTGCTGCAGAAATCCAAGAGTGTCCCTCTTCTCCCAGTTTGCCAAAACCAAAGCCAAAACAGCAAAAAGCATTATTTCACAGAATTATCTCTATTTAAAATTTTTTTCTCTCAGAACTTTTAACAATTAGTGTTTACTTCTACTGGAATCTAGTATTACTAGTTGTTTTAGCTTGAAATAATATATTTCTTTATGTTAACATATCAGTATCTAATAATGCTTTCAAAGCACATAACTTTTTTTTTGAGACAGAATCTTGCTCTGTTGCCCAGGCTGGAGTGCAGTGGCACTATTTCAGCATCCCTGCAACTGTCATCTCCTGGGTTCCAGTGATTCTTCTGCCTCAGTCTTCCCCAGTAGTCGGGAGTATGGGGGTGTGCCACCACACTCAGCTAATATTTTTGTATTTTTAGTAGAGACTGGGTTTCACCATGTTGGCCAGGCTGGTCTTGAACTCCTGACCTCAGATGATCCCCCCCTCCTAAGCCTCCCATAGTGCTGGGATTATAAGCATGAGCCACGCTGCCCAGCCAGCATATGACATGTTTTAAGAGGCTCTGCTTTATAAATAAGAATGAAATGTGCTGTTTTAGACTTTTCCAAGTATTTGGTGGTTAGGAATATTAAACGGAAATAGAAAATGATCTAGGGTTTCGTAAAACCCTGCTTAAAGTCAAAGGGATGAAACCAAGAGATTTTTAAGAGTCTTTTTCCATCTCAGACGTCTTGCACTTTCTTCGTGTGTGTTTGTGAAGAGAAAAATGACTGCCCTCATTTCCACTGTAATACCTCCTGTCTATTTCTGTTGCTTAGAAATCTTGATTTTATGTTAAGACCACCAGGAGAAAAAGAGCTATCTGGAAGGGAGCTTTGTAATGTGCCTTTGAATTGCACGGATGGAAAACGGAGCAGCTGGCTTCCTATGTGGGATGGCGGTGGCTGCATGAGGACGGTGCCCCCAGTCCGTTGGCTGCCTGTGGTTTATTGTGCTGTGGCTGTGTGATGGTTACCGAGAGCGAAAAAGTGATGTGAGTGTCGGGTGGGGACATGGAAATGTGCTTTGTAATTTGAGCCCCTTTTAACAACCATTCCGGTGGGGTTTCCATTTCACAGTTCCTGCCCCGCAGCAAGCAGCCTCGTCTAAAGCAACAGGCTTCGGAGGTGTGATTCACGTGTAACAGTAGGTGGGCTGAGCCCACCCCTTGGGTGACTCATGCAGGCTTTCTCTCCCACCAACCTGTCCCACTGGAAAATCCCTCAGTTTGAAGTCTGGTGGCATTTTTTTCTCTTTCTTTCACTTACCAGGATACTCATTTAAAAAAATGGTGAAGCCTGTGGGGGTCAGCCACTGCAGGGAGGAGGTCTTCTTCAGATAAGTGACACACTTCAGCGTGAGTGTCTGGCCTTCCTCCACGGTGATGGTTTCTGTGTGGTTAGCCAGAGAGGCCTCTGTGGAGGAAGAGAAATGGGGGCGATCAGGCCGGGGGTGGGGTAGCACACTGTCTCAGGGATCTTGTCTCGTTCATTCATTCAATCACGTATTATCTATTTCTTTTAGAAACCAAAAAAATTAGCAAATACAGAAAAAAAAAAAACTGTGAGTTAAGAACTCAGAGTAGGAGCAGTAATGACGCCTCTTGAAGAAGGGAACCCTGGAACCAGGTCTGAAGGAAGGGGTAGGATTTTGACGGAAGAAAGGGAAGTTCAAACTACAGTTTGACAGGTGTGGGGCACTTGCTCTGCCATATGCCAGGAACTGTGCCAGGCCATTTACCTGTATTTAATTTAACTTTTTAAATATTTATTTATTTATTTTTGAGACAGAGTCTTGCTCTGTCACCCAGGCTGGAGTACAGTGGCGCAATCTCGACTCACTGCATCCTCCACGTCCCGGGTTCAAGCGACTCTCATGCCTCAGCCTCCCAAGTAGCTAGGATTACAGGCATGCACCACCATGCCAGGCTAGTTTCTGTGTTTTTAGTAGAGATGCAGTTTCATCATGTTGGTCTGGCTGGTCTCGAACTCCTGACCTCAGTCTCAGTCTGAGGTCTCAGTCTCCCAAAGTGCTGGGATTACAGGTGTGAGCCACTGTGCTCGGCTGGAATTTAATTTTCAAACTAATCCTAGAAAGGAAGAACTATGCTCACTTTACAGACCAGGGAACAGAGGCTCAAGGTCACAGCGATCATGGAGCTGGGATCTGTACCCTGGGCTGTGGATGCCAAGGCATGCTTATGTAACTACGTCAGCCTATCTAAGCCACAAGACCCCAGAAAAGTAAGCCTTTCTGGCATCAGCTTATAAAATAAGCATCTAGTACTTTCAAGTTGTATGTCTAGGATTCTAAGAAAGAATATTACTATCAGGGTGCTCTGGTGAACTATGGAGTTGCCCCTCGGGGCAAGTAGCTAAGCCCCACCTGTCTGAGAGCGTCTCCGCCACAGGGTGGATGATCTAAGATCTCATTCAGTTCCATATTCCATAGCCCAGATTTCTCCAGACAAACACAAGAGTCTAATTTCTCCAAATCACAACCCCCCGAAAATGATGAACAATTGGTTCTAAGCAGCTGCACATTTATCTCCCCAAGAAAGAAGTTGATGGAAAATAAACTGGCGTTCCTGCTGATTTGGCATGCTTATTGTCATTCATTATTTCTTCATATTTTAAATTATTTTTCCTGAGGAAAAGACAATTCTTATCAATGAAGGTATAAAACACGTTTATAAACAGAAGAATGCCATGGGGTTATACGTTACGAATAGCAAACGTAACAAGTTTTACTGAATCATCTTTAACCTTAACAACGACGACGACAAAGAAACCAGGAGAGTTTATTTTTTTGTGATAAATTTCAAGTATGAGGAAAAGTGCTTTGGAGAGCTCTGGGAATTAATTGGTGTCTACTTTTTTGTTTGTTACATTCCTAGGTCATTAATTTGAATCTTGCCTCTAGCAGAAATAACTCAGAATTATTGTATTGTATTCACGTAAGCTTTCATGGGAAACCGTTTGCTTGAGTTCTAATGGAAAAACACCCATATCATCCACCAATACCATAATGAACAACAAGGAGGCAATACAAAGAGATCTGTGCTTTCAAAAAAAGCATTGAGGCATAAGGCCAGAATTCTGCTTAGGTTTGGCCATTTGGAAATATTCTCATCTGTGACACCAATCCATAATTGAGTAAGTAATAAGAATAATGTTAAAAGAGAATGACAATAGAATTTCTTCTAAGGGATTTTGCTGATAATAAAGATTTAAAAAGCCATCGAGTCCCTATTCTGTGTCCTCATGACATCCGTATCAGCCAGTGGTCCTCCACCTTGGCAGTATGCTAGACTCACTCAGGAAGTTTGTGTCCTGCCCTCCTCATTCACTACTAATTAACTTGGAATTCTTGGTGGGGCCCCCACATCAGTTCTCCTGACCCCACGCCTAAGTGTTCAGAGCATCCGGTTCCCAAAGCACACAGTTGCAACACAATGAATAAAAATCTGTGGATGCTCCTCAGATACTTGGGACCAACTCTCTGCTGCTTCAAGAACCACATGGAACAGGAAGATGAGTATCCGTCTCACTTTCAAAGACTTCCAGAAGACACTCTACCATACCACTGTGTCCAACCCCTTACGCCCTTAGTCGGACTGGGCCCTCTGAAGATAAATGTCTTTTCCATAGCATGGTCAAATAATTTAAAAAGCTACACCTTTAGTTTCATTATCATTTCTTCACCATTTCCCAACAGCCACATGTGAATATGCTGTAGTTTGTCGATGTCCTTCCTAAAATATACCTCTCTGTATGGGACAGGGGACTCACATGTCATCAGAGCTGGCTAGAGCATAGGGGGACATTCACTCGCATCACCACTGATCCTCTGGACTGCCTTGTTCTATTAACCCCAGGGTTTCACTCTTGAGCTGTAACATCTTACTAGGCCCCTATTTAGGTAATCACCCAAAACACCCAGATCTTTTTCAGACAATTTGTGTCACATCACATCTCCCTATCCTGTGTTGATGATGCATTTCATTTTGGAACCAAAGTTCAGATTTCATATTCTCCCTAGATCAGTCTTATTTCGTAAGTTTGGACGGAGGGTTCAGGTTTTCTGAGAACATTTTGGCTCTTGATTGTGTTATCTGTCAATAGACCCCTAGGCTTTGTACCATCTGAACTTGTTGCAGAGAGGAGCAGTTTATAATCACGTCTGTGTCCCTAACCTGGGTGGAATATGATGCAATGGGTAACTCACATGCACATGAGCCAAATTGACTGAGTTAGAATCCTGCTCCTCCACTACTAACACCACGAACTTGGGAAATATCTGTGTGTCAGTTTCCTTACCATAAAAACAGGAAAAACAACAGTATTCATCTCATGGAGTCGTTGAGACAATTTAAAAAAACATGTAAAAAACCTAGTATAGTACTTAGTCCATAGTCAGCATAACATGCTGCTCTTACTTGGTAAATAGTGCATAATGATTATTTGAAGAACTGAACTGACTCTTACTTTACAAAGGAAAGTGGAAAGTGTCAGTGTCAAAAGACAAAGCCTTGTAGCTCTGAAGCGCTTCACTAGGGACCTCCTTCCCCAGTGTTACGGTACTATTTATTATTAAACATTCCAAGGTTCTAGTAGACATTGAGGAAGAAGCAGTTTCAGTCACAGTAAACCTAAATTGGAACAGTTCAAGAGGATTAAAGATTTTGAGGAGCAAACTATGATAATGAGTTCTTTTTATTTTGGACCTTAGATTTCAGCCAAGGGTGTAATCATCACTTTTCTGACAATCAGTAAGAAGTTCAAAAGGCATTTCAAACCTAACAAGTACAACACAGACTCTTGATTCTCTCCCACTAAATGTGTTATTTTAGATTTCACCACCAGCAAATAGCCCAGTTACTCGGGCCCAAACCCAATCACTCTGTAAAGAATGTGTCGTTATTCCCATTTCACAGATGAAGATATCAAAGCTCAGAGGTTAAGTAGTTTTTGAGCCAAGATTTGAATCTAGAACGAATTTCCACAGCACTGCGATGCTTCTTGTTTTACTCAATTACTCAGTTCTTAAGGCCGGGCTCGGTGGCTCAAGCCTGTAATCCCAGCACTGTGGGAGGCCGAGGCGGGTGGATCACGAGGTCAAGAGATCGAGACCATCCTGGTCAACAAGGTGAAACCTTGTCTCTACTAAAAATACAAAAATTAGCTGGGCATGGTGGTGCGTGCCTGTAATCCCAGCTACTCAGGAGGCTGAGGCAGGAGAATTGCCTGAACCCAGGAGGCGGAGGTTGCGGTGAGCCGAGATCGCGCCATTGCACTCCAGCCTGGGTAACATGAGTGAAACTCCGCCTCAAAAAAAAAAAAAAAAAAAAAAAAAATTACTCAGTTCTTGTGCACTGTCCCGATTCCTATAAACAGACTGAAGTTTCTAGAGAATGACGACGTTTTATATTTCTCTAAAATTCATTCCTTACAGAAACTATTACAATACGAGCTTGAAATTTACTGGCTTAATGCCAGTTTTCACGACAGCACTATAACATAGATAATTGATAGATACCTTTGCTCTCCTGTTGCTAACAAAGATACTGAGAAACAGGAAGTTAGTTACTGGAAGAAAGTTACATATTGAATCAATGATAGAATAAAGACTAGTGTTAAGAAACATGCCCTAATTTCCTCCTTGGGGACCGACATTGACATGTTTTGCCAGTGTCCTTACCTTTGGTAAAGTGATGGTCTGAACAGAAAGCCTGCATTGGGTAAGATGGGGGTGGTGAGATTTATCTGCAGCCTGTTTAGGAATAAATGTCTTCCATTTTAAGGATGTATGATATCATTTGTCTCTTTCTTGGTATGCGTGCTTATGAATTAAATAGTGTAATTTAACTCTTACAACATTTAAAAATTGTGACGAAACATAGTTTGGCTTTTTATTACACGCTAAAGTACTGTATGTCTTAAGATTAACGTCTGCACTTGCTGCTGAGAATTCGGTATCAGACTGCTAACCAGACTGACCACACCATAGATGCCTGAGTTTCACATGGAAAAGGCTGCGTTTGAGGCATAGGATTTTAGCTGTTTCCTTTACTCTTTGCACCAAGGCTTGCTTTTGGCTTTACAGGTCTGCTTATCTTGCAGTATTATCATGTAGACCCCATATTCGATTTAGAAACAGGAAATCACTGTAGAAAGGAAGAATAGCCCCAGTGAGAAGCCACAGACTCACCCAGCTTTGCTTACACTGTAGTGCTTAGAAATATGTTTCAATGTCTTTAGTTTTGTTAAAGATGGAAGAGCAGGATGCTGTGCCTAAGTTTTGGTGGTATATTTTCCCGGGAAACATTCCCTACGATCTTCTCATTGCCATTGGAAACTAAATTGGAACTTCTTTTGAATTTCCTTTCACTTAAGTTTGGAGTCAGACTTTCACC